CGTACGTTTTTCACGCCACCACTATCATTGACTACGATAACTTCGAGTGGCGAGTCCTTGCGGCCATGCCAGCAGCGAAGGAAGTTCCTCCCGATTCGCCCGAACCCGTTTATGGCCACTTTCAACTTAGCAACTGTGGGCTTCTTGACTGGATTTGAGACTACTGTCTGAATTTTATTTTTTTTATTGGTTATAAAAGGAAAAATGTTAAGATCATATTCGGATACTAGTTCGTCTGGCTCGGTGTTACTTGCAGTAAATACGAAAATCGATTTATATAGAGATTTTTAGATGAAAGTGAAAAAATGGAAGTACCTTTGGAGTGAGCTGTGCAGCCACAGCATCAAAGAAGTAGGAAGAATCTGTGCCATTCTTGGCAAAGGTCACACATCCAATGGACTTCAGCCCAGAAAATTCAGCAAATTCATGCTTCTGTAAACAACCAAGAAAAGAACACTAATTAAAAAATAAAAAATAAAAAATCACTTTTTTTTTATTATGACTACCAGATATGCAACTTGAAAAAATCAAGACTCTAATAAACATCTTGGCAGTTATAATCTTGAAATTACCAACAGATGTTACCACCAAATAAAATCAAAGGCATGAGTGCTTGCTAAATTGTACCATTTACTAGAAACAAATAAAAAATATTAGGAAAAAGATTGTGAAAATGACCTTTGAGAAGCTTTGAGCAGGAAAAGAGTGGGGGGTTTTGGAGGTAAATCTGGTGCTTGTTGGGATTCTTGAAGAGGCCAAAGCTGCATGGGATGCCATGGCTGTAACTAGAACAACTGAATATAATTTTTTTTAGCTACATATATATAATTTCATGCAAATGAAATTTATTTAAATTATATAAACATGAAAATAGATTATGGTTGTAAATGAGTTAAAAGGAGTGAGTGGTGAGGATGTACTTTGCTGAGATTGTTATAAGATAAGATCATGTCATGTGAGCCACAAATTTGTTCACTCATTGTTGTCTCTGATTTTCATCTCCCAGAGTGCCTTTTCTTTTTTCCC